GTCAACGAAGAAGTAGTCTTACGTCCCGGCTTCGTCATCAAGGACAGCCGTGATAAACGCCGCTTGAGGACGGCGTCAAGGCCTCCTCGGTAGCTGTTCACCTGCCGCCACTGCCACCACCGTTCGGGGACGGCGTCAAGGCGTCCCCGGCAGCTTCAGTACACGTTACCGGTACCATTTCACAAGGGACGCCAGCGCAAGCCGACAAGTGAACCCTCTGCGGGAAGCCACCGGTACGAGTCTTCGTGGTTCGTCGGCAGTGCGGGTTTCTTCATCCAGGAACGCCGTTCTTGCTTCTCTGACGATAGAGCCAACAACCCGGCCGCCGCTTCAGCCACCCTTCAGACCACCTGTGGACGATGTCCAGGCCTCCCCTGTGGTTCTAGGACATGACCTGATTGAAAACCTGCCACCATTTCACGGCAGGGATCCACACCAGCTCCTGTCCCTTGGGAATGCCGCTCACGTTTCCCACGGCCTGCATTCCCTGTCCGGTACTCTTCCAACATACCAGCCTCTAATAAACGCTGTTCATGCTTCCTTGGACATGCATGTCACCGCCGTGAGTACTACTAGAACCACGTACTTCACGGACGCGCACCAAAGCGGTTCAGAAGCCTCGTGCGACAGTGCCGTGGAACTGCGGCGCACCATCGCGCTACTTCGTGCCGAGACTAACAAACTGACCGCGTTGATCGCTGAGCGAGCTCCTACAATGTTGCCAGCATTGTGTGACATTAACGCAGTGTTGGATGTAGCTGCCTCATACGACCTTGAGGCAAGCACACCAGAGCAACGCAGGGAGCTTCGGTCTTCTCTGATCGAGCTCTCACACCAGCTCGACTGCTTCGCGTTGGTGATCTCTGCGTTGCCACCTGCCACCTCACAATCACCAGCCGTCTGCGAACTACCGGAATTCCACGGGGTCCGGAACGACGCCGACGGTTGGGTGGCAAGCGTCAACGCGATAGCAATGCGCGAGGCCTGGACGGAATCTCAGAAATAGACCGTGGCTGTAGATCGTCTTCGGGAAGGTGCAGCGGCGTGGCACCGGTATGAAGGCTTAATTCTAGCAGGCAGGAATATCTAGCATTAATTATAATGCTAGATATTCCTGTGCCGCCAGTCTTCTGCCCATAACTTTGCTATTTGGAAAGAAGGCATAGGCCGTCATGGTGTGATCCATTTTTCTGATGCAATAAACCTCTCTCCAAATAAAGAAAAGTTCAGTGTATATTTGTAATCAAGTACTTAATTATGCTAATTACAACTTCAGCACAAAAAATTATGTGTAATAGTTTCAGTATATAGTTTTATTCAATTACAATTTTTTCTGTCATAGCTATCACACCACTCCTTCATACAAAGAACTTGGTTTGAAATCTATACTTGTTCTTTGTAAATCATGAAAAGGAGTAAATCATGAACAGAAGTCAAATATCACAAGACAAACCTGAAATCACAAGTTTAGGTGTCTTAGAGACGTAAAGAAAAGTCGAAACTTTAATCGCAGCCTACTCAATACTGTTTTTTTTTTATATTATGCTCAGCCCTTCCACATGCTTCAATGAAGAAATAATTTCTTTGCCGTAAAGTATTTGTGGTATCGTTTCAAAATTTTTATGGAATCACTGTGAGGTCATTTTTAGTGTCTGTGCCAATTTTCATCAATATACAACGAGAAACAAAGAAGTTCATTGAAAAAAGCGTGTTGAAAACTTCGACAGGCTTTTTCTCACAAGTGTGTTTTGGACATTGTGCATTGCTCGTGCAAAGAGTAGCACGGGAATGACTGGACCAATTTTGATTCTGTTTTTTTTCCCCTGAATCCCTGAACACTGCTTGTGGGTACAGCAATCTTCAATTTTTGTTTTATGGTCCTGTTATTTTTCTAGACAATGATTTGTCCGTGCCACTGTTTCTGACAATGTGTGCTGGCAGCCATGATGATCTCTAAAAAAAAGAGAGAGAAGTTATTAAAAAATTCTGAGGGTGCCATACCCTGTAGCTTTCTTTTGAGTAAAAATCAACGCCATTCGCAGCTTCCTGGCATGTTTTGTTGCAGCCCTAGGCTTTCCACGAGCAGACCATGTAATTGGACCATGTAGCATTATGTAACTTGAGAACTACTGAAGCTATCATAATGAAACTGCATATTTCCCTATACGAGACACATATGAGTATGCATGCCGAATTTCATTGCTGTAGGTCAACAGATAAAACAGTTTTTTTTTTCAATGCCGCCTCCCCCCTTAAAGAGATCCCACAAAGCTTTTTGGGCATGGTCAGAAAATGCTGGCGACAGCTAGTCGATGCTCCCGAGAAAACGTTGAGCCAAATATAATAGCGTAGCGCACGGCCTGGAATTCACAATAAATTATCAAAGTGGGCTATAAATTGCTTCATCCTCTCTACACGAATGACGATACAAGATCCGAAAATCACTCGTCACAGCCATTGTATCAGCCATTGACTGATTTCAGCAGGGCGCGCTTGGTTGTTACTTGGGCTGCTGCGGGAGGCTGCGACTGTGCACGATCGTACTGAAAAGCCGCCTATGCGAGGAAAAACAAAAAGCACGAAAAAGTGCTCAAGGTCGCGTAGTGTGCGGTATGTATTTTCTCGCCCCATGCCATCCCTTCTTGCTTAGCTTCCAGCACTTTCGTCGGGACGAGAGAAGAAAGAATGCAATTACAGTGTGTGACAAAGCTTTGTAACTCCGCTCTTACTGGGTGGATTCCAAAAAAATTTTGCAGCAGTGAATTCGTGAGGCAATAAGTCTCTTTATTGAATCAACTTCGTGGCTACTCCAAAAAGTGTTGCAGGGCTCTCTCAAGATTCAATCTGGCATAACTCTACAATGTAAGTGAACATGGCTGCAGCAGCGAGAAAAAGCAGCTTTCGTTCGCTCTATCCCTTCAACGCAATATTAGTGGTGAAAACACAGTGCGTACTGGGGCATGAGCAATCAGCTGATGATGTTCATCGACACAGCTTGTGCACAACTGCGCTTATTTGATCAAATTTTGCAGTTCCTCCTAAATGATGTAGCCCCCTCCCCCTTTGCCAGTACCTTTCATGCCCATGCTCCTTCGCACGATCGAGCCGGCCGGCACGTTCCCTCTCTGCTTCACTTGTGTTCGTCAGCAGGGGTGCAACAGCCAAAATAGAATTTGGAGCAGTTTTGGAAGCAGCAAACTATCACTTCTGGAGCACAAGAATTCAAATTTGGAGCAGTATAAAAAAGAAGTGTTGCATGTAGAAAAAATATGTACAAATCATTCAACTTGTCCTGAATTGTGCAGTGTGAATAAGAGAACTGCTTTTTCAATAAAATTAGCATTATGAACCACCTCACTGAGCAAATAGTGATAATATCCTCATTTGCATTTGCCGTGTCTGACTCAGCGAATTCAAATGTGGAACTGCCAAGCTGGCGAGCTTGAAATTCAGAGATTTGTAAGGGTGGCGAAAAAATAAAAACTTGCTCACAGTTTTGTTAGGGCATCAAAAATGTCATACACTGCTCCAAATAATTGCCAGTAACATTTTCAGACATCATCTGTTCTACTACTACTCACAATTATGCCCCGTATAGACCCATGAGTAGTTGAACAAAATGTGCTGGGTCCCGTTAAAAACATTGCTGCGCCCTCTCCCCCCTCTCTTTTTTTTTCTTCATCGATGAGGTTAGGTTTCGGGCACAACTTCTTGTCTCGCTCGGAAGGTGTGTTCGACCAAACAAAGTAACAACAACGCGCACTTGTTGGCCTGGCGACGGCACCGGATATCTATCGTCGGGGCAATGCAACTTCAATACAGAGAAATGTTTTATGTGCCGTTGCTATAGCAAACAACGTGGTCGCCGGCAACGCCCATTATCGCAGCACGTCGAATCTGTTTGCGCACGGGTAACACGGCATACGCTTTCAGCTTTAGTGGCTAACATGCTATAGCCACGTTTGCCGAGAAGGAAGTTCACGTTTCCCGCGAAGTGTTGGTGGTTACGCAACGTTTTTTTGTTTTCAAGTTGCAACGCCTCGCCGATAGGTATTGGCAGCAGTCAGCGAACCAATGGCGCGCAACTTTGTTACTTTATCTGGTCAATCTCGTGTCGCAAGTGCACTGACCTAATCGGAATATATCTTACACCATGGTTTAGAGTGCAGGGCCTGCACACTTGTATTGATCGATGACGCAAGGTGCAAGCAGAAAGCCAATGTGGCTGCCATTGCTCGATGAAATGAGGACAACTGAGAAAACTTCGAGGCTGCTCGGATATTTTGGTGCATCGGGGCTCAATTTCAGCGAATTTCATGGTTTTAGCACAGCTCAGCGCAAGAATGTAGAATTGTACCAAATTGGCGCAGATGGTGCACCTGTGTAGTCAACAGCCTTTGCATGCTATTGCTCACACGCATAACATACAGCACACAAGGTGATGTTATTGAATAGGACATTAGAGGGAACATGATGGTGATGGTAAGAGCCTTTTGGGTCCGCATAATGGCTACAAAATTTGAATGCTTCACTTCTTCATAGTGTAGCAAACAAAAGCTCTTTTAACAATGCATAACATCGAATAATGAAGAGGAGAAGAAGAGCCAAGACTTCATAATATTTATATGATATGTGTACAATATCGATTGGTGTTGCAATTTATACTGTCAAAATAATAACTGTTGGGGCACAACATCCCAAAACCATGATATGATTTTGAGGTGTGCCGTAGTGAAGGACTCCGTAAATTTTGACCACCTGGTGTTCAACAGGCATCTAAAGCTGAGTACACTGGACTTGAGCGTTTTCACCTCCACTGAAAATGTGGCCGCGACGGTTGGGTTTTAAATTAATGCTGTCATGGTGGCCATGTTTCACCCAATAGATTGGACAGTAGGCCGCCAGTCACAGGGCTGCAAATTAGTGATTTTCGAGGCATGCGGGTCTTCGACAGGGACAACACTGTTCAACAGTTCAGTCGTTTTGTTTCCACAGACTTGCGTCAGGATCAGCACTGACAGTAGGCACCAAGGCATTGGGGGTGACGGTGCAGGAATTTAGGTACTGGCAGCATGACTACTGGATGCAGGAGTACAGGTAGGACCCAGAGGGCTATGTTTGGTGGCATCAATGTGAACTTTGTGAGCGCTGTTCTTCCAAAATGTAAAAAGTGAAATTTCCAAGTAACTTGCTTGCTGGCTATGAAATAAAATGACGTTTATTGAGAATACGCTGCTTTTTTAAAATAAGTGTAATTGTGAAAGTTGGTCGAGTTGCATAAAATTATGTAAATTAACGAGTTAAGATAACAAGATGGAAAGACAATATGGCTGTGTTCTTTCATTGTTTCATAAATACACTTGATGTTCACATAATGTCTAGGACCCCTGAATCGCCATCCTCAAGAAGTCAAGTTTTTTTGCTGTTTGTGGTTATTGAATATGTTTGCTATTTATGAAGTATAATAAATAATGTTGGCCGTTCGAGCTGATTTGCAGTTTTGGAAAATAGACGCAAGCAACAGTTGATAAGCCTTGTCACTTCATGCGTTATATTAGAACAATGGTCCACCATAAAAATTTAGCTTAAGTTGTGAGCTCACGGCGCAGCCACTTCATGGGTCTTTCGTGTTGAGAAGTGTTTCTTGTGCACAGGCAAGGATGCGCATTGGTCGCTACACGAGCACACTCACTAGTGTGACCTTTCTTTTGTACTTTTTTTGACCCTCTGATCTTGCACAGTCAATGAATGATGACTTGCAGTGTTGATTGCAGTGTTGAATGTGTATTGAAATACTTATCTTTTCCAACGTTTTCAGTGAAAAGAAGGCTTTGTGGCTAAATGAGAAAGCGGAGAGAGATTCGAAGTCATCATAACGTCAGTGCGGAAAGCTTCAATCTGAAGACCTTGTATAGCTGTTTAGCTGAAACCATGTATTAAATGCGTTTGGCAATGGAGACTTGTTAATATTGCATATTGATAAATTTAGTTGCAGTATGAACACAACAAAAGTACACAAAAAAATGTGCATGCGGCACTAATAGGAACAAAAGAATTTGTTTTTGAAAACCCCACCAGACTTCATGTGTCATCGCAATTCGGATTGTGACGAATAACCAAGATGCAGTTGCGAGGAAAAAAAGGTTGCATTATTGCCGCAAGTTCCAATGATTGTGCTATCAAATAACTGAAATGTTATACGAACTAAAGCTAGCAGTTCTTTCCTTTGGAGTAAGACCTGGCGTAACCAAAATGAAATACGGCACCCCTAGCGAGAGATGCGATCCTTGTTTTGTTTATGGTTTCAATGTAAATTTTGTGATGCTAACACAAACACAACTCATACAAAGCTGTAATTTATCTGCTGATTACTTGCAAAGATATAGCTAGGGCTGGTCAAAGCGTACATTTTCATACTTTACACCCAGCTATTAAAGCGCGCATTTTCTGCCGCGAGCATCCCCTTAAGACACTGCGTGATAGAGATGGGGAGCATGTTTCATCTCTGCTAGACACTTGTCCGCCTACCCTTGGACATAGGACAAGCAAAATGATGTTAATAATTTAGGCTTTATATAAAGAACATGACCTTGTCTGCAAAAATGCACACTGAGTGGCTATGTAAATGACATAACAAAAAAATGAGTTAGAAAACAGAAATACAAGCCACAATTGTAATGCAATATAGCAATTATTAGTGGCATATTCTGTACCTAAACCGCAATATGGTTATAAGACACGCAGCAGTGGATGGCCCTTGAAATTTTGACAACCTGGAGATTTTGCAGAGTTATCTAGCTCTGAATACACAGGCCTCGCACTATATGTCTCTTCCATTGTAATGCAGGATCGCTGACTCAAAGGATGTGGGGTCCAACCTGAATGCTTTAACCACAGTACCAATGCTGGGACATAATGCATTATCACCGCTTGCTCATAAAATATAACTCTTCAGGCATCAACACGGGAGACGGCTCACTTACGCATGAATCACAAACAGCACCAGTATGGTCATCCTCTACAATTAAGGAGGTCATGTCTTCTGTTGATATAAAGTGGTCGTATCATTAGACACTGTTGACCACAAGTGACAGACTGGATTCCAAGGTAAGGCAAGCATACTAGGGGGAGGCTAAGTTAGGGTATCAACAAGTTGACATTGTAGTAGTAAATGCTGCAACTTGTACTCTCCTCTTCAGGGTGTTTTTCTTGGAAGGCTAACGATAAGAGCGCAGCTTTTCTATGACAGACACCCCAGTCGTTTTGGCGACCATGTCATTACTCATCTGAAAAATGAAAAAAACTCAATTACTGTACTAATTTGGAGATAAAATATTTTTGTAATATTCAGGAGTACTATAAATTTTATAAAATAACGTGTGATGTTTGCAAATTTATTCTGAGAGTACTGTTTTTTGTATCAGTATCCGATTTCGTGTCTATAATTAGCAAGGACGTTTTTTAAGTGTTCGAGGCTCAATACTATTACTGAAATTTTTCTGCAATATGTGTGAAGCAACACATGCAAGGCATGTAAATCAATAAAAAGACTTATTTAGAATCTGCCTCTGTGACATTGTCCAAGGTCAGTGATCAAGCAGTTACACTTTTCCTGGACTTTATATAACCTTCAACAATAGTTATTTTCTGGTGCTTAGATCCAGGTTTTATAGCTGAGCTCGTTCTTCGCAATGGAGACCCACGAGCTCGTAATGCCTCGGCAGACAATTGTTGCTTTTTAATCACACTCGTGTACTCGCAAGAAACAAAGATAGGATAGCCCGCAAAATCAGAGAAACCCAACAAATTCCGAAACGTATGAAAAAGTGCATCAGTGTAGCTTCGATTTCTCTTTTCAGCAAGGGAAGTGAATTTTTATTACTAGATATGCGATATTGATGATGGATTGCTGTTTCCTTTTACCACAATTTTTGTATGCCTCGTCTGCTGCGTTTTTGCCTTTCTTCCTGTAAAAAGCGCACTTACATTGCTCTAAGCAGAAAAATAGAGCCAGTTTTAAGTTCAGTGCGGTGTGTGCCCTTCATTGTCGTCCTTGTGTCATGCGCTGTGTAAACATGGAATTATTGCAGAAAGAGATACGTGGAAAAAAACATTTCCAGTCATTTAGGAAGCCACTTGAAGCAGTGGTTCACCGGTGATCCCTTTGGAGTAAAAAACTGTGGCATGGTGTTTCGGTTTCTTAGAAAGTGTGGCACAAACTCCTCTCCGGCTTTCAGTAATAATGTTAGATTTTCTTTTCTATTCCTAATGCAAAGCTCTTTGAGTGCGTCCACAAATGTATGAAAGAATGCAATGTTGAGCTTGGTTTCAGGAGTCGTAATGACATTCCTGTGGAATCATTCACTGGAATCGCCGGATTTTTACCTAAACTACATGTTTGCCGGTTGACCAGGGCAGAGCCTAATCCAACAATCAGAAATTTGTGTAGGCTCGTGATTGGCACTTGTCTTGTGCGAAATATGTATAGACAAAGTTGATCGCATTGTGAACAGAATCCTTAGACGAACTGTGAAGCGCATTTTCTGACATGTGAACGACTACACAATGGTTGTGAAAGATGTACGATTGCCTGAAACAGTTTTCAATGAGTTGACGGTGTCAAAGGCACGGGCTTGTCCTTTACATTTGAGGTTACAGAGAACAACTTCCCGCAACTTCTCAATCTTGACCTTCAGTTGAAGGTTTCCCATATTTCTGGTGTTATCTGCAAAACCGATTAACATTGGATCAGCCCACTGAAAGGTGGTAAAAAAGAGAGTCAAACCTTGCACTAAGCTGTGCAAGTCTTGAAAGAGTAAAACTAGATGACTCTGAAGACTAATGTGGTTGCCTCTGGGTTGTTTTTACGTCTTAGCTAGGTGGCGACGGCTATTCCTAGGCCATTTCTTGACTTTAGTTACTTGATGCCAAGTTGCTTCTGTGTTGATTCTCAGAGAAGGTACGAAATTATGCCACGCACAGCTATGGACATGACACGAATGTCCAAACTCTAGACACAAAAACTCCCACCGAAACCAAAATTTCACACCTCTCGTAGAGTCGCAGACAAGACATCCATGTCCAACCAGAGACAAACTTGTGCCAAAACAAGGAATTCGTACCTCTCATAGATCTACGGGATCACGTAGATCCCAAAGTTGACCCAACACTAGTAAGCGGGAAAGGCAATGGTGGCAGGGAGAAACTATCGTCATAATAAACAGGTGTATTCCACAAAAATTGGGAAAATCCCACCATAGACTCCACTGGTTCACCAAAAAATCACGCCATCTCCTGCTAAAGGGGACCATAAGGCGCTGCGAAGTAGCACGGGAGGTGCACGCCATGTTTGCATTGGTTGGACTAGGTCTTTCCGCTAATGCTGTGTATTTAGTGTTATTGTTTGTGTTGTCTTTATGTTGTTGTTAAAGTAGACACCCAGTTAAACCGATGCAAATGCAGTGTGCACCCCCCGTACTGCTTCGCATCGCCTCATGGTCCCCTTTAGCGGAAGATGGTGGTAATTTTATTTGCATTGAGGTATTCTAGCGAGCCGTTCCGCACTGCAGTTGGACTCACGTGGTCTGTCCGCAGCTGACCCGTGGGCTCGATGCTGACGCTTGGCTTCAACGTCGGCATTGTGTTGTGTACGGCAGGTGTTGCTTTCTCCCCTCCTTCTCGTACTTGCGCAAGAGGGGGAGAGTCAGCACATGGGCAGTGAGGGTGGTCATGGCACACAAACACTGGAATGAGCTCCACCATAAGCTGCTTTGTATCGAAAACAAAGAAGGCAACACTTGGCGACACAAGCGATTGCGGCGAGCTGAAGAAACCGAGTGCAAGAGAATATTGGGGAAAGGCAACGGTGGTTACGAGAAGACTGCGAAGCATTAGAAGGCCCACGCCAACAACATGCTCTTAGATGCATGAGCTGCTGTCTAGAGTTTCAGACCATGTCCTGTTTGTGACCATCTTCTGTTTCAGCTCGAACCTCTCAGTGCCGACAATCAATGTAGACGCAACCTAGCATCACCTAGCTAATGCCTAGCAACAACCTATAGGAGTAATGGAGATTATAGTCTTCAGAATCATTCACTTTTACCGCTTGAAGCCTGAAGCACCTTAGTGCAAGCTTCAGCAATTTCATAATTCATAATGCTTACATATTTAAGTGTATACACTAATTATCGGCACAGTAGCTTTGCCGAGATTGCTCGAATTTAATAACGGTAATTTTATTTCTGCCTCAAAGAAACAGTGACAGGGTAGCTGCAGAAAAAGTTTTTACAGACAGCCTGACCAAGCCCCAGTCGTTAAGTACAAGGCGACAACAGTCGAAGGCAGTTAAAAGCAAAACCGCCACACAGACATGGCCTCACGTTAAAAAAACACAAACAAAACAAAAAAGAGGGGGAACCATTGCAAAGGAGAACAGGCCAGAAAAGGTACGTACAAGCTGCTATCAACACAGCATAATAAAATTAATTCATGAAAATAATGATCTTAACAGATACAGGGGAAGGACAAATATCTGGTTTGAATTTTGCCAAACGTAAAATATATTTGCAGGTGCATACATCGATCGTCTTGGTCACATAAGGAAAGTGCTAAGATGCTACAGTAGAAATGGCAAGTGATTCGCATCAATATATAGCAATATAGGAATTTTACGACCCAAATTCACAATTTCGGGTGCTGAAAGGGGAGGGGGAATGTTTTGACTATCAGGTGTTCTCCTAGCATACACCTAAATCAATACACAAGTCTCTAGCACATCGCCTACATCGAAATGAAGCTGTGATTCGAATTTCGGGTCAGAAAACGAACAGCGTGGCCGGTAAGCTCCCAACATCATTTATTTCAACAGTGAATTCCACATGTTACGAATGGCGCCACAACACGCAATTTATATCAGAAGACAGGGAATATGTAGCTGAGAACATAGTGCAATGTGGCTATCTGTC